AATGTTCAATTATTGTGGCTGCATTCTATTATTGTATACCATGTGAGGAATAAATCGAATTTGGTTGTACTAAATACATGAGAAACAAATACAATTGTTATATTTCCAAGTTGTTAAGCATGCTTGGTTTGGTTAACTGTCTGATCTTCTATTAGGAGTATGTTATATTGTGCAATGTGATGCTCAGTTAATGTTTGGTTCATTTGTTGTGTTGTTTAGTTAACTACTTGGTTCAATTCTGCAATGCGATGTTCAATTGTTGTGCCTTTATTCTGTTATTGTATACCATGTGAGGAATAAATCAAATTTGGCTGCACTTAATACATGAGAAACATATACAAGTGCTATATTTCCTAATTCTTAATCATGCTTGGTTTGGATAAATGGGTTTTCCATGTGGCTTGAATTAATCTGATGAATCTGCAATGTGCTTATTTATCATCAACATATTTTACTGATAGCATGCGAACCCTTACTTAACCTGATGAGTAACTACCTTATATGTGTTGCAGGGAAACAATGGGAAGCACTAAGGTTTATAAGATGGTAATAACTATTACACCTTGCCTTTTTGTATTCCTTTGCCCCATTTCCAATATAGAGAAGATATTTATGCACATCCTTGTTTTTAGGCTTCACTAATGATTACCTCTCAAACCACCTCTATGGTCAGGAGGCGAGGAAAGTTTTCATACAACAACCACGGTTCAATATTGAAGTGTTCTTGAAGAGGTCAAAGGATGGACGTCAATCATCCACAGGCACTGGCCTAAAGTTGCAAAGACCTTCAACATGAATGAAGGATCTTCCGCTTCAGCAGTTTTCCAGATGAGATGCATCTCTCTATGTACCGTCTATGATGCTAATTTCAAAAGGTTCTAGATATTGCATGTGAAATTTGTTGCTGGTGTAGTTGTGTAATGGGGTAGCTGAGTGCTGAAGCTATATTATGTTGTACTCTGATGTATTTCAATTATGAAATCCTGCTTCCTTAATATGGAAATGGAATATATTATGTGCTTAATATGAATGTCAATTAGATTAGTAAATAGACTATTAATAATAGGGCAATTAGCCCGCTAATTGGCCAATTAGCTTGCTAATTGGGGTTTTCCTATTGCAAACGGTTAATGAGAAATCACTGTGTGCGATGGCCTCAAGCAACGCACACAGTTTCTAGGAATAAACCGTGTTGGATCAATGAACAATCACACACGACATTCTCTTCAAAACTGTTTGCGTTACGTCACCTTGCGCAAATGTTTTCCTTGTAGTGACTATGTGGGATGTATATACAAACGAAACGTTTAGTGGTGACTTACTGTGTGGGATGTACTTACGACCGGAAATGATTTCGCCTGTATAATTGTATTTTTTGAGCACTACTGTACGTATTTCTGTATTTGAGTGCTCGCCGGTCGCACACGACCTTATTTTGCCGAGCGTGTGTGCCAGGAGGGCATATCCCCAACGGTTTCTGGGTCGTGTGGGAAGGACCCCCCTATCACCCACACTCACTTGGCGACGGTTCCGATTGCCATCGTGGAAAGGGGTTAAAAATCGTTTGTTTAGGACCAACGCGCACCAGTGTACGTAGAGTCGTATCAGTGGTAGATAGGAATTGAGAGAATATTAATCTTACCTTTTAGCTCCTTGTGGGTTCGACACTCCATACTTATCACTTTCATCTTTGGAAATTTCTACGATGATTCCTTGCACTTGGGGATTATCAACGAACTTGAGAGAAACCCAAGTGGGGAAAAACTCAATCACCCAAAGCCAAAGTGATTGAGCATCACTGAAGAGATTGTCATGTGTGATCTGATGCTTATTACTTTTAAAGACTGTCATTCTTCCAGACGGTTAGGCGTCATATTTTGAGCACCCAAGAAGAATTTGTGGAGTGCCATAGAACGAGCCCGTGAAGGTTTCGGAAGTCTTCCTTGAAGACTTGCCACGAGTGATTAGTCAGGTTTAAGTGACCTTAGCACAAGAGGAATAAGGTGAGGACTAAGTGTCCTCTAAGTTCAATCTAGCCTCCCTAACCAGATGTATAGTTGGTACAACAACTGGAATTGGTCAAAAAAATCACTGTGTCATCACCGAGCCATCCTGGTTTCAAATTCCTCAATCCTTTACTTTCAGTACTTCTGTATTTTGAAGAATCTGTGTCTTGCATATTGAAGACGTTGAATTGAAGACATTCATCAGTATGTGTTTCATTCCTTCAGTTCTTCATGTTTACATTTATGTGTATGTATGATTGCATGTTCTTCATCTGTATCTATCATGTGTGCCCATCTTGCTTCACTGTGTTGATTTAGTTTCCCTTCTGTTACTATTTCGTGACTCTGATATTTGTCAAAATCTTTCGAATTTGTAAAAATCTCCCATTCATCCCCGAGAGATATCCCGCGCTTTCATAACTGTGCATGGATGTAACAAAAACTTCGTCGGTCGTAGCAAAACCCAAAGATAGTTGCAACAAAAATGTCATCGCCGCCAGTGTGTGTGGAAGCACCGCCATGAATGGATGTAGCAAAATTCAACGATGGTTGCAGGCAAAACGTCGTCGCCACCAACGCACGTCGCAGCTAAGCCATGAAGTATGTAGCAAAGAACGACGCCAGTCGTAGCAAACCTGACAACGGTTGCAGCAAGCATTGTCACCATCGTCATGTCTCGTAGCTAATCCATGCATACTTGTAGCAAAAAAGTCTCCGGTGGTAGCTTTCGCCATAGCCGGTTGCAACAAAAAACATCGTCGCCGTCGTAGGGGTTGCATCAACATCGTGAATGATGTAGCAAATGCCGATGCCGGTGGTAGCAAAAGCAGACAATGATAGTAGAAAAAATTGATGCGGGTTGCAACAAAAACTTTGTCACCGCCTTTGTGGGTCATGTCCTCGCCGTAATTGGTTCTAGCTAATTCTGCTGTGGGTCGCAGCTCCTCTGTTGCCTATTTCCAACATCTCGCATCAACAGCCATAACATCCCCCACGACGCCAGTTGTAGCAACTCTCGTGCCAGCCGCACACTGGTGACCCCCGAGCTCACTGTTTATAGCGATGGTGGTTGTGGCCAGCTGTTTCCCTGAGCAGCACCGAAAACGATGGTGGCGCAGGGTGTAGGTGGCTTGGGGAGAGGCGGCGTTGGTAAGGCAGCCTAGGGGCTAGGGGTGGGCGAAGCTGGGGCCGACAAGGGCCATGTCGGAGGAGCATGTGTTGCTCTGCTCGAGGGCAGCACGAGGTAGAAGAAGCCATGGTAGGGAGGGCCAGAGAAAGAAGGAGATAAAGAATAGGAAAAGGGCGAACGAATCTGTATGTGTGGACCAGAAGTAGTTAAATTGAGGCGTTGGATCTAGTGTGAGCCTGCGGCGCGCAAGCGACTGCCGGCCAGAGGGAAACCTATCCCTAATGAAAACATAAAAAAGATAACCATAAATCACACACAATTATTAAGTATAACTATCTGTTACCCGAAATTTACAAGCAGTTTTCACTTCATCCCATATTCTAGCTCTGGCAGCAGCTATCATGGGGCCAGCATTTTCCCCGTCCAAACTTTGACATGCATTTGATCCATATGTTTACATATCCTTGACAAAAACCGCGCACGATCCAAATATGTTTGTGCATTTCAAACGTTGTTCTTCTTCTTCGACGCCACATGGCGGCCAGCCACGCACACCATACGCACCGTAACGGACATCCCAAGAAAGGGTTGATAATTTTCATCTTATCTTAAATAAAAATAAGTAAAAGAAAGGGTTGGTAATTTACCACGGAAGGGCGCGACCCATCCGAGCCGCCCGATCCGCATCGGACGGAAAGGCCCGGGCGCCGAGGCTGTGGACCGAGAGCACAGTGGACGGCAGTTCCAATCCGACGGCCGAGATGCGGCTTCAGTTGTCGCCTTGCTCTGGAAAGCGCCACCACGCAACGCGACCTCCCCCCCTCCTCGATACACACGTATAAAATCCGCAACCCTCCCAGGTTAATTAATTAAAGAAAATTAATTTCCGGATTCCCTTTTTTCTTCCGCTTCACGATTTCTCTCCGGTTTTCTCCTTCGTCTAATCTCTCCTCTCGCGGGGCGGAGAATCAGGGCGGAGTTCTGGGCGCGCGGCGGAGCCTTTCCTCGGATTTTCTCTCCGTGCTTCTTCCCGGCCGCGGCCGCAGTCGGCATCGCAAGGTTTGCGCCCCCTTCCTCCTGTTCCGTCTTTGAATTTTTTGTCGTTCTTTCTAGAGTCTGGGGCGGGCGTTGTTCTTGATGCGGGGATGGAGGCGGCGGCGAGAGTAATCGCATTGATTGATTAGCTGGTTGACTAAGCACCATAGTTTCCTGGTCCCCAGTTCGAAGGTGCTTGTTCGGGAACTCACTAGAATAGACAGATCGTTCTGCTGCGCGGATTTACTAGTTTATTCGATCTGTTTCTCGTCGATGTACGAGCCCGTAATTCCTCTAGGAGTATTTCTGGCCTGGTAATCCAGATTGCGAGTCTGCTTGAACTGTCCGCCATGGATTATTGTTGATCTGGTGGGCGATACGTCGGGTAATCTCTTCCTTGATTACTTGCTGCAGAGGATAGTTGTGCCCGTAGCAATTTCTCATGCCAAGTATTCTCGTCCGACTATTCTAGTCTAGTAATTAAACCAGTCAGTTCGTCTATCTGTTGTCCTATGGATTGGTGATTCGATGCATCCGATTGCACTGAATCTGCACGTGCAACCGTTGCAGTTTACTGTAAGGTTCTGATGTGCAAGATAACATAAAAAATTGGTTGCAGCACAATACACTTCAGAAATCCCATTCTGATCTATGATGAATTTGTCTTTCAATGTGATAGTATCATCCGTGTTATGTTTATTAGTTTATCTTGTTCGATTCAATACTCCTTGACAAGTTTAGATCTTTTATCCTGTTTTTAAGAACACATTGGCTCAAATACTAAAATTTGTGATCTATCTGCAACAGTGCTTGGCAAATAGCAAGACGCTATGAAATTCCGCAAAGGGGGCAAGGTGGAGGTACTGCAGAAGGCGGAGGCACCTTTCGGTTCCTGGAGGCCTGCCGAGATCCTTTCTGGCAATGGGCACACCTATCTCGTAAGCTATGATCCATGTCTGCTTGACGGTAGTCTGGCCATTGAAAGGGTTCCAAGAAAGGTGATAAGGCCTTCTCCCCCGTCCCCAGATGGTCTGGTGTGCTGGGTCCCAGGCGACATCCTTGAAGTCTTCGACAGCTATTCATGGAAGGTTGTGGAAGTCGTGAGATTGCTTGGTCATGAGTACTATCTTGTCAGGCTCCTCGGATCCTCCCTAGAATTGAGGGTAGATGCATCCAACCTTAGGACAAGGCAGCTTTGGCAAGATGGCAAATGGGTTGCTCTTCCAAAGGTACAGTTCACCCCTTCAAATTATCCAATACTTATTATTGTTGCACAAGCTTCTATGTTATGCCTGTTATGGAAATTATGGACAACTTATGGCAAACAGTTGACACAGCCTTATTTATTTCCATTTTAAATAGTATATACTGTAGTGCTTGAAGAGAGTCTTCAGTGTCTGGTATATAGTAATAACTCGCTAACGCCATGGTTATTACTTTCAGGATTCTGCAAGATGTGCTGCTGGTTCACACAGGAGTCGGACAAAAGGTGGAAATTCAGGGGGCAGTCATCTTCTATTAAAGAACAAGAATGTGTTTGAAGACAATATGTCTCGAGGCATGAAGAGGAAAACCTCTGCTGCATCAGCTTTCCCTATGCAGCGCAGTGAAGTTACTAAGAGATTTCAGACTTCTCGCAGAGATGGAAGACGCCAACATCTTGGTCCTGGAGATTCTCTTCATTTGATGGATAAGGTAGATGCTGTTGATTCCCCATGCTTAATGCTGGGTGAAAAATGCATGCATGATTCCTTAAATAACAGAGCAAATGGCTTTCCTAAAACAAACCTTGCAGTGGTTAATGCTAATGTTGATTATCAGTATCCCTCTGTAACAACTCAAGATAGTGATACTGATAGTGCCGCATCCTCTGTTGGTAGTTGCAATCCCTACGGTAGCCCCTATAGACAAGCACATCCTCAGGAGTACGACAGTGGAGATATTTGTAGTAGGACTGATGATGATGATGAAGCTTCTGTATCTGGAACTGAATCACCTCTTCCAATTAAAGGTGGTCTGGGGGAAGAAACCCATCTGCTTGAGTTGCATGCTTATCGTGCAACAATGATGGCACTATATGCTTATGGATCAATTAGCTGGGAGCAAGAGGCTTTGATGACTAATCTGAGGCTTACACTGAACATCTCTACTGATGAACATTTATCAGAGTTAAGGAATTTGGCTAACTCTGCAGTTTGTTCTAGATAGCCATTAAAAGTTATGAATGAAGAGGCTTAGAATTTGTTTGTTATGTTGTCATATTGCTTACTTCAGAATAGTGGATTTATGGTTAGTGTGGACTCTGAAGATACCAGTCACTTGTTGGTGTACTTGACGCTCTGTATTAACCGTGTAGAAAGGGGAATTTTTTGTATGATAGATTTATTAAACTTTTCAGTACAACTTTTGCCCCCACTGAGTCAAAGGTCTCTTTCTATAATGGAACCAGCTGTCTTCTTAATTCTTACTATCTTGTGTTGTTTTTTTGCTGCTGTGACAAAGCCATTGATATGTGGTAATTGAATCCCCCCAGTCTGCTACGTGGTTGTAATTGAGTGACTTAAGATGGCAATGAAATTTCTGTTCTATTATTCTGCATGCTCAGCAAACAAGTTTCCATGTATTCAGTATGTTACTTGAACTGTCCATTTTGAATATGCTGGTGTATTTTCAACTTCTCCTACATCTTATAGATGTGTAACCTGACAGTTGACCAACATCCTAGCTTGTTAAACACCTTTGCTCATAGCATTAGAAGCCATCACCGATGGTGTGCAATTGTAACAGAAATAATAGGAAAAGATGTCATCTGATGCTTCTCATGCATTTTCAGGGCCGAAGTTGGAGGCTTGTAAAGCATCCTTCGGTAGGTCTGTGTTGATGGAGGAGTTTGTCACATGGTTTACTTGGTGACCAATGTGGCAATTTCCATCAAACTTTGGTTCGTATCCAATTTTTTTTTGTTTGTTTCATATCTTCCTTTTTTAGCTTCTTTTAGGGCTCTACTAGCTTTTGCAAGGATACTGGACAGGAATTTGGCTTGGCATTAATGAACAAATAAGTTAATGGTAATATTCAACATGCAGCATGTTTGCAAAAAAGAATGCTTATGTCAGTACAGAGAACTACTACAGCATTTATTGGATATTCTGACCATGTCCTTTCCTGAACAAGGAAAACAAAGGAGCAGTTAAGTGTGCAATAATCTGGATATGTTGCTCTGTTGGTAAAGGAAGGAATTGGATATCATAATTGCACATTGCGATCTATGTGATTAATCGCTAAATTAATATAAAAATTGTGTTGTTTAAGTTGAAAAGCTCAATAAATATAGGTATGGATTATATGACGATAAAAGTAGATAGTAGTCATAGCACATGTGATTTGTTAAAGTAGTTTTCAGAGATTTATCTTGGCGACAGTACTCTTCAAATGCTAGGTCTCGGAAGCTCATCTATTGAAGTTAATAGCTGGTTTTTGCTTTGCAAGAATTCATGTCAGCTAAATGATTATTTGGCGCATTCTGGGGAATGAGGGAGACTATCCCTAGGTAGACTTATTGGTTTTTGGCATGTACAGTGAGCTACACCTGCAACTTACTTGATGTGGATATTGAGAGGTAAGTTAGTAGGTTAGTAGGCATATTGTTTATCCTCAGGCTCAGCAGTTCTACGGTAGGTTTGTTAATTCTCATACATGATAGATATTGCAAGTGTAAAGTATTTCTCTGAAAAGTGCTGACTCAGATGTGTTACTACATGATCTTCTTGATATCCTTATAAGGAGTTATGGAGACTACCTTTGTATTTCATAAATGTAAAAGTACTTACCTGAAAAGTAATGCTTATTTTGGCCTTCTTACTGATATGTGGATGAGGTTGGGTCTACAGATTTACCTACATGTCCCTTGTAGTTTCTCAGTATAAAATCCTAGTCTGTGTCCTACTGTGCCACTTTTGTATTAAAAAACATTGGGATGTTCTTATGACTTCTATGTGTAATGGCAACACTTGTTAATCCTCCTACAGTCATGTTGTCCATACTACAGATATTCTTTTTTCGTCGCTCTATGTAATTATATTTGTGCGTGGTGTTGTGACACTACTGGTTCAGTCTATGATATGAAGCACACCATTCAGTGTACCTGCCCCAGAGCAACTGGCACAGTTGTTTATGTTTCACACTTGTCTGAACATTTAATGAGTTGGATGAATTTTTGTGAAATAAATCTGTAATTTGTAGTATGCTTGGCCAGTAACAATTCAAAATATTTAATGAACATTTAATGAGTTGGATGTGTTTTTGTGAAATGAATCTGTAATTTGCAGTATGCTTGGCTAGAATAATGCAAAATATTCAACAGAAACATGTATATATATTCCAACCATCACGATACGAAGCTTTTTAGATATTAAGGTTGTTACATATTGGAAATGCAGTATGCTGAGAAGGCTATGTGCGAAAACTTTTCCACTCATATTTACAAACTCTCATTTATACGGCGCAAAACATTTCTTGATGTATAACTTCTGTATGAAGCAGCATGCAGATAGCACCTTGTTGTTAGCCAGGATTTTTTTCCCTGACAGCTATATTTGATTATAACAAAAAAAACCTTTGAAGTTTGGGTCGTGGAGACTATTTCTGACTGTTTTTTGTATGAAAAAAGTTGATGTACTAGCCAACTAGGCCTGACATGATTCACCACAGCAATTCTTTTTCAGATTGGTAAGACCTCAGTTTTTGTACGAAAAGAGAAGCTGCAGTATCTTTATTTTGTAATTGATGACAATGAGTTCAGAAAACATACTGCAGAAAGGGAAACTGGAGAGTGCTTGCTTCTGGTCTGTTGGCTAAACCAATCTAAACTAACCAAGACTGACCTTTTTCATTTTAAGAACTTTCTAGTTTTTATTTGCTCGCCTTGATTATAAGCCATTTGGTATGGAACATTAGCTTAGAGGCACAGACCAGATGATCTCAATCTGGTGCCAAAACGCTACTTGGCTGTTCTCATTTACTGACTTGTAGTTTTCACCTAGGCGACATCGTAAGTTAGGAGGCAATAGAATATTTATTTAATACATTTCATTTTCGTAGTGAAAGATTTATTTATTCTGTCTACAAGACATACTAAGGTCATAATGGTATAAGACAAGGTCTGGGCAAATTTATGTACTCTTATCTGTAACAAAAAAATGTTAGGACTAAAAAAATTCTGATGTTCTTTATAATATGATAGTAACTTCTCTTTTTGAATAATGGTATCCTTGTTGCTTTCCGTTACAACTTAATTATGCACACGATGTTCACTGAGAAAACAAAACTAACAGATGATTGAGGTGCTGTGGTTCCCTTACAATTGTGCCAGCTAGAACTATTTGGGGATCATCTATAGATAAAAGTGCTCTTGGATGCAATGCCATAGTTGATCTCAGGAGATCTTATCAGGATATTGACGTGCAAAGAAAATGGGCACTTTCTGTATGTTTTCAGCCGACATGTGGATATAACAGGCTTGATGCTGATCCATTGCAGCTTTATTTTTATGGCACACTCTGCTGTGTTTTGGTAACCCATTCACAGGCTTTCTAGCAAAGGTATGTACTATTGTTCAGGTGGTCTTTTATTCTGATGGCTCAACTGATTGAGTCACAGCTCCGCTTTCTCAGGTCAGCCCAAAGGCTTGGAGTGAGCTATTCAGTATTTTGTTTTTTTACTTAATCTTCGATGGTGTTTATACTATTCTATGAATAGCTTCTGGAATTGAGGTTTGATATTTTAAAATGTATGTATTGGTAATGTTTGAGTAATAATAGTAATAATAGGAATCTTTGTCATTGGTCTGAGTACCCTGAGTAAGAAAGAAAGCTTTTCCTGTCTAATCCGTGATCTGTCCCTTTTGGTGTGGAGCATATTCCTCCACTTGTTTCATGAATTGGAATCCTGGTACATAGCATTGATTATTTCTTTCCTAGAAACGAGTTGAAATGAAATGAGTAGTTAGAATCACTATTTCAGATGATCCATCTCTGCTTTTCCTGGGGATGCGTGTTTTGTATCCTTGCGGCTGGATCTATTATTCTGATGCATTAGCACAGCACCTGGAGCGGTGCTGTTCATCATGCAACGCTTCTTTTTCAGTGGCTCAGCCATCGGGGATGTCAATGACACAGAAAAAGCAGCTGCATACAGATCCAAGGAGACCCGCCATGTGGCTGGGGAGCACTATGATCTGAATTTTGTGAAGTCAGCCATCAGGCATCTATCAGTGTACGGTGAGGTTGTTTCTACCACGGTGCTTATCCATCTGATGGTTCTCATACTTGGATGCTATAGTATCCAAGTCGTCCACAAGTTGAGATATGGCTGTTGAGGTTCATGACTGAACGCACATCCACACTTGCCCCTAAGCTTAAGCTGTAATGTTGGACATGGAGGAACATTTCAGATTTGGGTATGACCCAATTTGCCTGGTTGATATGATGATATACGTGAGTACATGACTTGCATTTGTGCCCATAAATTTGTAATCATGGATGATGGCAAATCTTTTTCTCTTTAGAAAAGCTGGCATTGACACGGAGGGCTAGCCCTGGATAACTTCATAAAGGAGGCTAAAGCATAATATAACAAAAGAAGGAAGGAATGATCGACACTGAGGGTTAGTACTAAATTCATGATGAGGGCTTGCATGTGTCAGGAAATCTGTGAAGATACTTTGGTAATAAAAGCATCCTGATGTTTTTACCTGTCTTATGCTTGTACGTAAATTGACATCATGACCCGTACATGCAACAAGATCTCTGATACAGTAGTAATTAATTCTAACCCCTGTCAAAATATACTGCTTTTAGCTTGAAGGTGCACTCATTTTTTAATACATTAATGCTTTTTCAGGTGATCAGCATTATGTAGTGTTATATGTATGTATCCATACTCAATGAAGAAAAGGGGAGATCAGACACAGTATGGTTTCTCTGGATGCAGTGCAAAAGTCTTCTACTTATCACAAAATTGATGATTCTTATTTGCTATTATGGGGTTTCTGCAGCCTGCCTGCGGGTAAGATGTGGAATTGTTAAGTAAGATCACTGGCATACTTGTCTTTTCTATTGATTTGACATCTGTCCTTTTTTCACGCATTTCACGTGATTAAATTCAAGCCTGTCCATGAGATTCTGATTTCAGATTGGCTCATAGATAGGAACAGGAAAAAAAAACTCATGGAAAGAAGATAGATGCACTGGATTGATCCTTGTTCTATTCATTTACTGCTGAGGCCCAAGGAGTAACTATAAGACCCCTTTGAAATTCAGGATTCTGAAACGTAGGAACAGAAAACCTTGTATCCTAAACGAAAGCACACAACTTTGTACAAATAGATCTTTAGATGTTCGACTGAAATTATACAAGATTTTACCCCTCTTAGAATTCCTCCAAAGTTCTATGGACTTGGTGCTCCCTAGATTAACCACAAGCTAATTCTTTTTGAAGGGCCACACTCAGACTGAAAGGTGGACTAAATGTAATTACAATAGGTGTTTATAACTTGGTGATGCTTATTTAATCAGTAAGTGCATCTTCAACCGAACTGGGCAGCCGGTCGCCCCCATTTGTCCGTTCGTGCAACCATTCCCCTTATTCCCTTATTGACGAACCCTTAAATCCATACAAAAGCCTGCAACGTAAAATGAGAAGATTTCATACATCCATGCGTAGATAAAAATGAGATGCAACTACATTTGAAAATAAAATTGTAAACTACTCCCTCTGTTTCTAAATATAAGTCCTTTTAGACATTTCAAATGGATTACAACATAAGGATGCATGTAGACATATTTTAGAGTGCGGATTCACTCGTTTTACTTAGTATGTAGTCACTTGTTGGAACCTCTATAAAGACTTTATTTGAGAACGGAGGGAGTACATACTAAAGTCTATACTTCCTAAGGAGTCGCTAGCCGGAGCCGTCGGCCTCATGATCATGGTCGTCCTTGTCCGCAAAGATCTCTTCTCGCTCTCGGTTGTGGATGAAGAGCTTGTGGCTATTTGCCATCACTGCCTCGAGGATGGTGTGTTTTCCACAACGAAGGCTTGGTTGGTGTAGAGCTCGGTAGGGGCGACAATGTCCGCGTGCTCCGCCTCGAGGTGCACCTCTGCCATGAGGTGCTCTGCCTCCATGGTGAGGCGGAACTGCCCCCCTATCCATCGAGGGGCAAGGATACTGTCGCCCTTGTCGACGGCGATGTCCGCCATCTCCAACCCGGAGTCGGCAGTGTCAATCGCCAGGACCACCTCCTCTGAGCACGGGGTTTCCCCCCTCGTTCAAGGTCGAAGGAAGGCCGGCCACAACGCGGGCAATGCATCTAGCCTCCACGGCCAGAACTGGCGGTTGGCGCGCCAGTCAAGGGACTGACTCCAAATCAGATGTATGATAATGCTCGGTGACGCGTCGGGCCAGAGCTTTACTTTCTGCTCTCATCTTCATTGTGAATGAGGCAGGACGACTCCACATCGACGCGCCGCCTGCCCCCGAACCATTTTCATTTGCTCGCATTCGTCGTCGACCACTATGGCGACCTCTGACTTTGCGTTCCACCGCTTCCCCAAGCTGCAAGCGCTGCTTCCATGAAATACCCGCCGACACCATCTCCGACCTTTGACCTGAAGAACGATGATTCTTCACTAGCAAGCTTCATAATCGAGGCCTAGATCACGATCATGTGATCGGGACACGACATCGACACCATGCTAACCCACCAGCCCACCCATGTATTCCATCTGGTCGCCATGATATGCACCAACTGTGCACTCATCGACGACCACAAGCCAAAGGATTGCAATGTTGCGCTGGCTTTATCACCCCCGGTCATCACTACTATGACCGTCGATCCTTTTGCACCCCTAGCTTCCACATCATTCAACCGAAGCCCTCCCGGCTTCTCAGCCCCGGCCACCAGACACCCGGGTTTCATGACCCCTGGGGCTGGTCCCTCGGTCTTCGCCACACAAAAAATGACCCCATTGATCGTTTGACGAAGCACTGTGGCTACTCAGCACGTCGTTGCCAGCGGATGACCCCACCATAAGGGCCATGGAGGCCATCAGGTTGGCTACTGTAGCTGCCCCTGCCCACATACAACTGTAGAAGGACAAAGAGGAGGCCGCCGCGCATCAGGCTCGGTGGCGAGAAATCATGGCCAATGAGCAGCGACATCGACCTCGACACCAAACGTGTTCAACCACCATAACCCTTGCAGATCACGAGCGTGAGACTGGTAACGACATCAACAATATCGAGGAGCCCGAGTTCATCCGAACTGCGGCTAGAAACCTCCAGACAACTGTAGTACTTGCCTATTGGCTTTAAGCTACCCCGAGCGTCCCGGTCGCAAACATCATCAACCAGCTCTGGATCGTGTCGTGGAGCGTTGTTGAGCTATAGGAAAATGCGAGCAATCAAGGCTTTGCCTTGATGACACCGACGACATCCTCTTCGTGGTAGGTCATCCACGACAACATAATCGCTAGGGCTCCCAACCCAGGGTGATGGCACCATTGGAGGAGCCGGGGAACCTACGCCTACCGGTCTCAGCCATCACAGGGCGACACTCGTCCACCCCGTCATGACCTCCCCCTACGCACGAACGCCTTGGTTATCATCCCGACCTTCGCAATCATATCGGGGTTTGAGAGAAGGAGCGGTACGGGTACAACTATGAGCCCCTGGCGCCATGTTCAGCATCCCTGACCGCCAGTATCGCCCCTCCATGCTTTGCCTACGGGGTGATAACCCACCCCTTCCCAGAGCCGTTTATCATACGCGGCATCGACAAAAACTCGGGAGACTCGAAGCCGGACCACTGACTCGGCGTTTGCCTTACGATGTAGGACATGGTGGGAGGCGACATCGACAACGTTCTCAGGTACGTGGCCCTCTACCTCACAGGGTCGGTACACACATGGCTGAATGAGCTTCCACCAAGCTCCATTCACAACTGGAGCGACTTTGAGAGCGCCTTCACCAATAATATTGAAGGAACGTACCAGTGCCACGTCGATGCATATGACCTCCATAAGTGCATCCAGGGTGACAGAGCTAGTAGGCAACTTCATCTTCTGATGGCTTAAGGAGCGCAATACGTTGACAACAATCTTTGACGAGTAGGCCATACACGCCTTCATCAACAGAGCCTAGGACCTGCTCCTACATCACAAGGTCGGCAAGAAACAAGTAGACGGTAAAGCTCATTACAGTGGCCCCCAAGTAGTGAACAGGTCTTGGTCGAGTC